CGGGGGGGACCTTTGTGGGGGGGGGGGGTTTGTGAACAAGGGGGGGAACCCCCCCCCCCCCCACCCCAAGCTGTGATTTACGTCTCCACTTCCTGGTGATGTCCCTGGACCTGCTGCTGTTTGTCACCAGTTGTCCCCACCTTCTCCGTGTCACCTCGGGGACCTTCTCGTCGCCGCTCGTGTCTTTGTTTTGGGGGTTTTTTTCCCCCCTTTTTTGGGGTGTTTTTTTTCCATGAATAGTTCAATAAATTAGAGCTTAGTGACCCCCGTGCTGCTCAGAGTGGTCGTTCCTCTTCCATCTTCTCTAGTGGCCTCCAGACCTCCTCGAGATCCAGTTCTCCAAGGATTTCCCTCTTCAGTTGGGTCTCCAGTTGGGTTGTCCCCTCTTGGAGCCCTTGGGTGGGTCCAAACCTGCATTTTTCCAGCAGAAGATTCCCATGAATCCCATCATAAAAGGTCTCGGGGTGGAGGGAGGTGGTGAAGCTGCAGGGGTTGGACCCTTGGGTGGTGGGGACGTGGGTGGCACCAAACCCTCCCCCTTTTTAAGCCCCAAGAGGTGACCCCGCTTAGAACATGGAGGGTTGGGTCCCACCACGTCCCTGGGGCTCTTCCCAAGGGGTTCAGGGCATTTCCAAGGGGTTCAGAGCATTCCCAATGGGTTCAGGGCATCTCCAAGGGGTTCAGGGCATTTCCAAGGGGTTTGGGGCATCTCCAAGGGGTTCAGGGCATCTCCAAGGGGTTTGGGGCATCTCGAAAGGGTTCAGGGCATCTCCAAGGGGTTCAGGGCATCTCCAAGGGGTTTGGGGCATCTCCAAAGGGTTCAGGGCATCTCCAAAGGGTTCAGGGCATCTCCAAGGTGTTTAGGGCATCTCCAAGGGGTTTGGGGCATCTCCAAGGGGTTCAGGGCATCTCCAAGGGGTTTGGGGCATCTCGAAAGGGTTCAGGGCATCTCCAAGGGGTTCAGGGCATCTCCAAGACCTGGAGATGATCCCACTCCAACCATCAAGCTCAAGCCAACCTTCCAGACTTGCTTCCTTGAGTATCTCCAAGGTTCAACCACCTCCAAATATCTCCGGATAGGTGGGATCCGTGAGGATCATCAGGAAGGGACTCACGAGGATCCTTGCGAGGGGATCCATAAGGATCTTTGGGAATGGATCCATGAGGAGCATCATCAAGGGGTCCAGAATGATCACGGTGGAGGGATCCATGAGGATCCTTGTGAAGGGATCCATGGGAATCATCAGGAAGGGATCCATGAGGATCCTTGTGAAGGGATCCGTGGGAGTCATCAGGAAGGGATCCATGAGGATCACCAAGGAGGAATCCATCAGGGTCCTCAGGAAGGGATCCATGAGGATCCTCAGGAATGATCCATGAGGATTATCCTGAAGGGATCCATGAGGATAATCCTGAAGAGATCCATGAGGATCCTTGTGAAGAGATCTGTGGGAGTAATCAGGAAGGGATCCATGAGGATCACCAAGGAGGAATCCATCAGGATCCTCAGGAAGGGATCCATAAGGATAATCCTGAAGGGCTTCATGAGGATCCTTGTGAATAAATCCCTGAGGATGCTTGTGATGGGATCCATGAGGATCCTTGTGAAGGGATCCTTGAGAACCCTCAGGAATGATCCATGAGGGTAATCCTGAAGGGATCCCTGAGGATCCTTGTGAGGGGATCCTTGAGGATCCTCAGGAATGATCCATGAGGGTAATCCTGAAGGGATCCATGAGGATCCATGAGAATCCTTGTGATGGGATCTATGAGGATAATCCTGAAGGGATCCATGGGGATCCTTGTGAATAAATCCCTGAGGATGCTTGTGATGGGATCCATGAGGATCCTTGTGAAGGGATCCATAAGGATCCTCTTGATGGGATCCATGAGGATAATCCTGAAAGGATCCATGAGAATCCTTGTGATGGGATCCATAAGGATAATCCTGAAGAGATCCATGAGGATCCTTGTGAAGGGATCCATGAGGATCCTCAGGAATGATCCATGAGGGTAATCCTGAAGGGATCCATGAGGATCCATGAGAATCCTTGTGATGGGATCCATGAGGACCCTCAGGAAGGGATCCATGAGGATCCTCCTGCTGGGATCCCTGAGCATCACAGGAAGGGCCGAGTTTTTATGCCCCAATTCCTGCCCAGATTCCCCAAGAAAAGCCGGGAGAAAAACCAAAATTCCCATCTCCCCCTTTTCCTGCCCCCGGGATCCGCTGGATCCCTCGGGTTCCTCCCCCCACCCTTTGGGGACCCCCCCTTGGTGA